GTCGCATGAAGGGTGCGCTGCATCCTGCTAAGGGTGTTCGGCATCTTGTGCTTACTTACTTGCGTACGGATGACAGCTGCGTATGACTTAATTTACTTTCTGGTGCTTTCACTTCCAGAAACAGTTGTAAGCACTGTGTAACTGCCTCGAGGGTGCTTGACCATTTTAACACAACGTGGTGTGATCATCCCCCTTGCGCGGAGTGAGGGTGCTCCACCCCGCACAACATGATCTACCCGACCACCATAATGGTTACCGCCAAAAAAAAAACGGAGGCAAAAAAAATAAAAACGGTAACCTGGTTGCCGAGCTCACGAAGTGAATTGGCTTGTTTTACAACGTCTTTGCCAAGCGACGAAAACCCAATCCCGATGGNGTGGGGGAATCAAAAACCATGGGGTATTCAAAGCACAGCGGGGCCCCGCGAAGTCGTGCATGTTGGGGGTGAGTGTCGCTCACGTGCTTCCGGGTACATCTACCCCCGGCCCTGTTGTGCGCGGTTAAAGCAAAAAAAGCTGTATGGTGGTTGTTTTTGTTCAGGTCGTGACCCTAACCCGAGAGGGTTTGAGCAAGCAAGGCGGTCGACAACATCCCAACACAACGCATGACACAACATACCACACCTCCTGGACCGATGTTACATAAATCGCTCCAAGACGAAGGGGATTCCAAACTCAAGCGATAACAAGTGGTCGAGTTTCTTCCGGAGAGACGGTTCCAGCGCAGCCATTCTCGTCACCGGCGCAGTGCTTCCGCGGCAGGGCTTTGATATTTGGTCCAGGGGGTGTGATCTCTTACGCTATTTTCGCTGCAGAGAAAACGAGCATTGCCATTCGGTCCAGGGGGTGCGGTGTCTTACGCAATCTACGGTAGCCCTGAAGCACTTACGCGAGCAAGGCGGCCAAGAGCATCCTCAGCGGAGAGTTGGTCACCACTCCGAACCCGAGGCAGACCATCACCAACCCTGCGAGGGGGAAACAAACGGGACACCGGGTGCAGCGAGGCACCCAAAAACAACGGAGGAGAGAGGTCAAAGGAGGGTTTCTGAAGGTGTATGCCTCCTCAACGGTCACCGACTGCTAACCGGCAGCCGCCCCTCCGCTGCCGTGCTGTAACGCTGTGGCACCGCAGGTGGCGAGTCGTCGATATCGACTCTCATTCATCGGTAGAGGGGGGCGGTCGGGTTGCTCTTGAGACCCAGATCGCCTTCAACTGTGGTATATTCTCTCGAACGGGTACAATATTCTTTGTTTTGAGTGTATGTATATGTGCTAAAGCTGGGGCCTGTGGAACACAGCGGAAATTCGAAAGATGAAAGGGCAAGCCGTAAGTAGCCTATAAAACAGGGATCAAAGTGCAAACACACCAACTAACAATGGTGTCGCTTTGCAAATGCTTTTCAACAAAGTTGACCGCGCTAATCGGCCGATCAATAAAAAATGTGCCAGTCTGCGTTAAAAAACACTCGCTGTCTCTCTGTGCTTGCGTCCGTAGCAAAACATCGACCACGGCATGCCAACCGGCTGGTCAGTCAAAAACGCATCAACATGTTGTGTCTGTGCGTAATATCGGCGGAATAAAGCAGAAGGGGGGGGGGGCGTCCCGACCGGACATGGTGGCAGTGGGGCGTTTCGCAAAGAGTTAAGAACTGATCGTGGTCAAGCGTTGCTAGGGGGCAGGCAAGCACAAAACACACACATGTACACGGCCGTCTTGCACGGTGAACTTGCCAGTTATTGTTGAACTGCTGCATTACCAGCGGCGATACACGCTCTGTGCACTGCTACTTTTTCTACCCGTGCTGGGAGCGTAGAAAGGGTCGCCGTTTCGCAGAGCACAACAGCAGTAATACCTGCAACGTCTGCCCCGGCGACTGGAGATTACCTCAAGTCTCGTTCCCCACAGCGCCGACAAGCAATCGTCCGGTCTACTTACGACAAAATCTTTCTCGAAAACTGCTGTGCCTTCATCTCTTTGCACGCGCGTGCCATCAGCTACATACTACGACCACGCAGCCCCCGCCTGACCTGCTCCGTCGCAATTGGGTGGAGCACATGCTCTCGGTTCGAGCTATTTACGTCGACATCAGGCTTCGAAGGACTTGCGTTGTTCCCTCTGCCACAAACCACAAGCTCAGCCTTGTTCATCGTACTCATGAGCATATTCCCGTACTACTTCAGAAGCCCCCCGCCACACACACACACCGCCCTTCCCAACAGGGGACAAACAACCCCGACGCCCGTTGTTTACCAACACTCGGCTCTGCGACAAACGGGAGACGTATCGCCGGGACACTGCTTGTAGGTGTGTAAAGCAGGAGTGACGCGTGATCAGTGCTCGAGCTACCAGGGCACCCCCCAGCCGCGCCAAACACCCTCCCCCCGGTATGGAGATTGCCGGACACATAGACGTGTTGAGTGAGGATAGCTGCATACTGAAACCTCACGAGTTGAGTGATGTTGGATAGTGCCAGACACATTGACGCTTTGAGTGAGGATAGACACATACTGAGACCTCACCGGTTGAGTGACGTTTGCGATTGCCGGACACATAGACGCGTTGAGTGAGGATAGCTGTATACTGAAATCCACAGTAGCCATAGTGAGGGGACAATTCGAGAATGCAGTACACATAGACCCGACCCCCAACCCGTACCCGAACCCCCCTGAAAAATAGAGGCCATGCGCCACCCCCCCCTCTACCTCTCCCAGAGGATGAGGAGGGTACAGTCCAGCTGATGGTACTGCTATACAATTGGGTGTGGAAAAACGAGTACACGCC